CTGTGTGTCCAGACACAAAATCTGGCAAAAAACTTGAACTCTATTAAATGTTTGCGACATATTTAGGGATACTAGACCACTTTCCAAGTCAATGGAAATGTGCAGAGATCGTTATGATCCTAAAACCAAACAAAATAGAAACGGAATTGACATCATACCGTCCCATTAGTCTGTTGACAATTTTCTCGAAAGTGTTTGAAAAAATACTATTGAAGAGAATGTTACCAATTTTAGACGAACTTTCCATCATTCCTGAATACCAATTCGGATTCAGGAGGGGTCATGGGACCCCTGAGCAATGTCACAGGGTTATTAATGATATAGTTTCGGCATTTGAAAACAAAAAATACTGCACTGCTGCATTTCTTGATGTTCAACAAGCGTTCGATCGAGTCTGGCACAAAGGTTTGTTGTACAAGATAAAGAAATGGCTACCTGCTCCGTACTATTTATTAATGAAATCATATCTGGCTAAAAGATGCTTTTACGTGCAGCAGAAAACCGATAGTTCATCACTACTTCTCATCAACTCAGGCGTCCCACAAGGAAGCGTATTGGGACCAATTCTCTACACCCTATATACGGCCGACATGCCAGTTACAAACAACTGCACTGTTGCAACATATGCTGATGATACAGCCGTTTTAGCCACAAGCACATCTATAAATGAAGCTTCTGAACTCCTGCAGAGTGAGCTAAGCCTAATTGAAGACTGGTTCCTTCGATGGAAAATTAGAATAAACTCCCTGAAATCCGTCCAAATAACGTTTTCATTAAGACCAGGTAACTGCCCAAATGTTACACTTAACGGCTCACCAATTCCACAAAGTACCTGTGTGAAGTATCTCGGCTTGCATCTCGACCGCAGATTAACATGGAAAAACCACATTAAAGCAAAATGTCAACAACTTAGACTTAAAACACTAAAAATGTCCTGGCTGATAAGTCGAAAATCAGAAACCACTTTGGAAAACAAAATTCGCCTCTACAAATCCATACTGAAGCCTGTTTGGACCTACGCTATACAGCTTTGGGGAACTGCTAGCAACTCAAATATTGAGATACTTCAGCGTTACCAATCAAAAACTTTGCGACAAATTGTCAATGCTCCGTTTTACGTATCTAATGCAAACATCCACAAAGATCTGAATANTTTCTTGATGTTCAACAAGCGTTCGATCGAGTCTGGCACAAAGGTTTGTTGTACAAGATAAAGAAATGGCTACCTGCTCCGTACTATTTATTAATCAAATCATATCTGGCTAGAAGATGCTTTTACGTGCAGCAGAAAACCGATAGTTCATCACTACTTCTCATCAACTCAGGCGTCCCACAAGGAAGCGTATTGGGACCAATTCTCTACACCCTATATACGGCCGACATGCCAGTTACAAACAACTGCACTGTTGCAACATATGCTGATGATACAGCCGTTTTAGCCACAAGCACATCTATAAATGAAGCTTCTGAACTCCTGCAGAGTGAGCTAAGCCTAATTGAAGACTGGTTCCTTCGATGGAAAATTAGAATAAACTCCCTGAAATCCGTCCAAATAACGTTTTCATTAAGACCAGGTAACTGCCCAAATGTTACACTTAACGGCTCACCAATTCCACAAAGTACCTGTGTGAAGTATCTCGGCTTGCATCTCGACCGCAGATTAACATGGAAAAACCACATTAAAGCAAAATGTCAACAACTTAGACTTAAAACACTAAAAATGTCCTGGCTGATAAGTCGAAAATCAGAAACCACTTTGGAAAACAAAATTCGCCTCTACAAATCCATCCTGAAGCCTGTTTGGACCTACGCTATACAGCTTTGGGGAACTGCTAGCAACTCAAATATTGAGATACTTCAGCGTTACCAATCAAAAACTTTGCGACACATTGTCAATGCTCCGTTTTACGTATCTAATGCAAACATCCACAAAGATCTGAATATTCCAACCATTAAAGAAGAAATAAAGGAAACTAGTAAGAAATACATCGACAGACTCCACAACCACGAAAATAATTTAGCCTTAAGTCTATTAGACAATAGCCTAACAGTAAGAAGACTGAAAAGATACCACATTCTCGATATCCCTGATAGATAAATCCAACAAACTGAAAAGATGTTATATATAATAGCAGGGCTCATTGGAAAACTGCTATTTCTGTTAATTGAATATTAATTATACAATTTACTTATTGTTTAAAAACAGATTGTAAATATAAAGAGAGAGAAAAAAAAAAAAATATTTAGGGATGGCATGGCAAATTATAATCCTGTAGATCGGTACAAGAAGCAACTAAAGCATCATTAAAAGTCTACTTAAATTATAATGATATAATTCTTCAATTATATTGGCAGCTGCATAACATTACAATAAATACACGAGACACCCGGACTGACGTCATCAACACATTGCTCAGCAGCAGACAGTTTTTTAAAGTGAGGTGCGGCAATTGCTGACAAATTTGACCACTCAGTTTAATCAAAACAAGGCGAGGTTTGAATTGAAACCCCCAACTCAGAATCTTTCTAGAGTCAAATTTGTCGTTTCATTGTTCCTAGACCATTTTATATGTATCTCGTCTATAACAACAATTACCAAATGAGGAATTAGGTCCGCTGTGGTAGTTGCTGTGGACAGCGCCATTTGAGGCAGCTGAAGACGCTGGGATCGAGTGAATTCAGCTGGACATTTGCATTGGTATTAACGCCATTGGGTCCGGCACCAACATCAACACCGGCATTCCTTCCTCCAGCTCCTGCTGAGGTGCCACCTTCCACCGAACCATTGCTTGTTACTGCCGAAGCCGCCACCGCCAAAACCACAACCAGGATTTCCTGCAAATCAGCTTAGATCTTTTATGACCAAAAAGACGTTTTAAGTTTATAAATTGTACGAATTGCACGGTCACTCTGCGGAAAGCCTCAATGTAATTATCGATATCGATGTAAAATGTAATGGGAATGTAAGCACCGTGTGGCAGTCTTTATGCGTCATCTATTATCATTTTTCAGAAAGTCCCTGAATACTGGGAGCAGTTTATCATGATCTTGACTCATAGATGCCGCGTTGAAAAAGGGCAATTTTTTGGCGCCCCCAATTGGAGAATTTTATATTTAACATTTCTTGTAAAAAGCAACAGGAGGCGCTGCTCGTCTGGTTTTTTTAAATTTAAAACGAATAAAACAAACAATTATGTAAGGGTTAAAGACAGATGGCATTTGTAAATGTATGCATGTACATTGAATAGGACAGTTTGACAAAGGGTGGAGGAAGCCCATCTTGCCAGGACATGTGGAGGACCTTCTGATGCAATGCATCTGAATTGCATCTGACGTGATATTATCGACCACCATCGATAGTGTCCAATCATCGAAAGTACCGATAGTGCCATCGACAGTTCTCCACCACTAGCCTGTTTTACGCCTGCCCACCTACTTTGTTAATTCTGCATTGTTTGTTTGTTGTTTGTTGTTTTGGCCCCAAGATGAGCTCCTGGCGCGACAGTCTCACCAACATTCCAGGAACAGTGGCGAACTTTATAAACGAGAGCGCCAGCACGGCGTCCAGCTACTTGCACTCGCAGGGACCCACTCGTTCGCCCACGCCCACTGCAACAGTTGGATCTGTGTCTGAGGAGAGTGTCCCACAGGGGGAATACAAGGCGCTGCCCATACCAGCGTCGCTGGTGAAAGAGCAATGGCGCCTGATTTTCACGTCCGATGCCAACATCCAGGACTTGAATGCAGCCATCGCCCACTGTCGCGATCTGGTGCTGCTCAGTGAAGAGTGCAGCGAGGAGAGACGCTGGCTGGTCCGCCATTTAGTGGACCTCCGGTACTCGCTGCAGGAGCTAGAGGAGGCCCAGGCTCTGGCCTCGGATGTAGTTGTCATGAATGCCATCAAGGCCGTGGTGGGTCACCACTTTGTGCCGCATCACCCGCACGGCAGGAAGAATCGGCTTCAGGCCGCAGCCAAACGCTTCTACTGCGACCACTGCACAACGATAATCTGGAGTGTGGTGCAGGCCTCGTACATATGCAGCGACTGTGGGTACTTGGTGCACCAGAAGTGCATCGATAACGTCAAGAGGGTGTGTGCCCACGTCCTGGTGTCGGAACGACAGCACCCCATATCGGAGATATGCCCCGAAATAGGCCTGGCTGCCCAAAACTACAAGTGTGCCGAGTGCGGAACGCTGCTGAACTTAAGTAAGTGATTCTAACACGTTGGACAAAAGACACAAATTTATTTTAACTTCGCAAACATTTTTCAGAGAGCTCCTGGATTGAGCCACGGCTTTGCGACTACAGTGGCCTCTACTACTGCCCCTCGTGCAACTGGAACGACAATTGCTTCGTGCCTGCCCGCATAATCCACAACTGGGACTTCTCTCCCCGGAGAGTGTCTCGTGCGGCTCTGCAAGAGATTCGATTGTTCCTAGACAGAGCTCTCATACGCCTGGAGGAGGACAATCCCAAGCTGTTTGTGTTCGTCGAAAAACTGTGTGCCGTAAAGAAGCTGCGCCAAAATCTCGTTCACATGCGCCACTATCTGGCTGCCTGCAAGCTGGCCATGGAACATAAGCTGGTAGAGCAGCAGATGGCCGGCAGGCGCCACTTGGCCCAGTCCAATGATTTCTATTCGCTTAGTGACCTCTCTCAAGTGGAGTCCGGTGCATTGACGGAGTTCCTGCAGGGGGTCTTCAAGGCATTTGGAGACCATATTCGGTCCTGCGACATGTGCCTGGCCAAGGCGTACATTTGTGAGATTTGCAGTAACAACGAGGTCATATTCCCCTTCGACGACGGTTGCATCAAGTGTGAACAATGCAACTCCATTTACCACAGAGTATGCCTCACGCGCAAGAACATGATATGTCCAAAGTGTGTCCGAATCCAGGAGCGAAGGCTGCAGCTCGATCGACTGAAGAGCATGGAAGACGCCAAAGATGTGACTGAGGGTCATTCGGATGTGGTGGAGTTGTCGCTTGCATAGCTTGTGCCTGTTTCGAGTCTTTTATTATGTTAATATGTTATGTATGTACATAAAATGTAACTACTTCAAAATATATTACTAGTGCTATTATTGTAATCCTATTCCTGGCCTGGCCCTAGTTATCCTTTTTACCGTACTTTTCCCTTTTGTGGAACTTTCTGGGATTGATGCCATAGGCCTTCAGGCGATCGTCGGTTATTCCACTGGGATGTCCGCTGTCTGTCCTGCATTTCGCCTTAAAGTTGTTTGTCTTCTTTGCTGGGAATGGTCTGTCCCCCGCCTTCTGGTTTGATTTTTTAAATGGATTCGCCCCAGATGATGCTCTTGTCGCTTGCTCCTGTTTGCCTTGGGGAGGACTCGTCCCCGATGATCCATGGCCATCAGATAATGCACTAGGTGCTAACATCTGTTTGCCTTTGAATTTCCTGACTGCCGGCTGTGCCCGAGCATGGTTTGGCATAGGATTTTGTTTACTGTTAAATGGGTTATTTCCATTTGACTTGTCTGCTTTTAACTCAGTTGGACGCGGATTCTGTGCCGGCTTAGCGTTAGCCCCTGATTTGGGGAGCTTTTGATTTTTACCAACAGCGTTCTTTTTCTTCGTCTTGTTTTGCGGCTGCTGCTCTTCGACCCCGTTGGGTGTTTGATCCCCCGCTTCTTTGCTCTTTTTTGTGGCAGGCTCATCTTCCCTTTGGCTCTCCATTTGCTTTGCTTCATTATCACGATCCTGTACAATCTGTTCAGGATTCTCTGCAACAGCTGCTGCTGCCTTGCGTTTCAAACGTTTCCTCTTTGATTTGGACAGACCCTCAGTGGGGATTTGAGCAGCGGCTGGGGCAGCAGCAGCAGTTTGTGGACTCTTCTCCGATGGAGGATCCTCATCATCAGAACTGAAAATGATTCGCTTTAAGCTTTGAATTGTTGAAGGAATGAAGCCAGATGCTTACCCTTCCTCTCCATACAGACTCTTAAATATCTTTCGCTTGAGATCTTCGTTCTTGGCTTTCATTTTGTATAATCGTTGCTCCTTCTTCTCCACATGCTCTGGCCTGAACTGCACTGCCTTTTTGAGACTAGCCCACTGGTTTAGCTCCTTGTTCTTGGCGAGCAAGATCTGCAAGTATGCCGCTGGAACGTAAACACTGGGTACCAAATTAAACCTCTTATCTCTACTTACCTCTTCGATGGTCAGGCCGAAGTCGTTTGGCGTGGTCTCGACGTACTTGAAGCGGCACGGCTGGTCCCCGACTATGTCCTCGCAGTCCAGTTGATAGTACTCGTCGATATACTCGCCGTAGGTCTTCTCTTCTTCGGGGTTAAAGGCTGGCTTCTCCGCCTGAATCATCTCCATGAAACGATTGCGACGCCCTTTGCGACCCTTGCGACCGCGTGTGCTATCGATCAGCTCCTGCTGGAGCTGCTGCTTCGACGTTGATGGATCGTAGTCGCAGTCCATGTTGAAATCATCATCTTCACAGTGTTCGTCATCGTCATGATCCCTTGAACTCTGTTTCCTGGGGTCATAGTTGTCCCAGTCCTCCAGAGTCAATTCGTCAATGTCCGAAGGGCACTCTGGTTTCTCCTCTCCCTCATCAACGTTGTAGTACTCATCGTCAAACAACTCTTGCATGCGACGATCGTGTGCAGCAGGGTCAAAGTCCTCCTCCAGCTCGTCGTCCCTGAAACCCAGCTCATCGTTGCCAGTGACTGCTTTCAGCTTGCGAATTTTTTCCTCGATTTCCTTGCGCTTCATATCCTTGATCAGATCCAGTTCCTTCATTTTTTGCTGCTTCTCCTGCTCCTTTCGCTCCTTCACCTCCTTGCGCTTCTCCTTCCGCTTGTCGTCTGTCCGACGAATCGATTGCTCTACGGTGCGGGGATAGCGCTTGATAAACTCTGCATCTGGTTCCTCGAAACGGAAATTGTACTTTTGCTCAAACTCGGCCTGCTTCTCCAGTTCCTGCTCGTCCTCGGACAGCGGGGCATTGTCGCCCACAATCTCATCGTAGGTGGGTATCTTCGATTCATCTGTGTTGGCGTACCCCTTGCTGAGAATATAGTCCCTGAGGAAGCACTCGCCCTGTGTCAGCTTGTTGCTGCTCCAGTATTCCTTCAGGGGTTCCAGCTGCTCTTTGACATTCTGTTCAATCTCTGTCTGTTGGCCAGCAAGCCAGTTGGCGAAATCCGCCTCCTCTGCATCCGCTTGCTCCTTGGTCTTGGTGCGTTTCTTGAATATGCCACCGAACTCCTCATCTTCCCCGATGTCCTCCTGGTTCATTACCTTGCTGAACTCTGCCTTCAAGCGTCGCTCTTCCTCCACTGCAGTGGGTGACTTCGCCCGCTCAAACTCCTCCTCCTCTTTCTGCTGTTGCTCGTCATCGGAGCTCTCGAACTTGCCATTGTGCTCGAGGATAACCTTCCGTTCGTAGTCCTTCAATGTGACCGGTTTGGCTTTGTTGGACCTTTTTCTTTTGGTTTGCTCGTCTTTGTTATCCTCGTCTTCGGAGGACTCGTTGAAAAAGCGCGTCTCCTTGTCGTATATTCGTGGATCTTTGCTCTTCAGAGAAGAGAGTGTCTTGAAGAAGTCTTGATCAAACTGGGGATTCACCTCATCCTCTTCCGAAGATTCGCTGTCACTGTCGAACTCGGACTCGGAGACATCCAGGCCGCGATCTTTATCTGTAATAATAAAATCGTTAACGCTTAAGGTTCAGCGGAGAAAGTGGTAACTTATGTACATTTCTGAAGCAGTTCCTTCTTGCGCAGAATGTTGTATGTCTTGGCATAGTCCTGGTTGGTCGTTAGCTGCAGGTCGTCGCCCTCGTCGTCTGACCCACCAAATAGTCTGCCACTCATAGTTATACGCTTGTTTTGCGGTTTTTTAAGTAAAATATTATTTTTTTTTTTTTGAGGTTTTAAGTTACCGCTCTACCCTTAGGTAGAGGGGAATTATTTGGCCACCCGCCTTTCAAGGGGGAAATCGCCACGTCGTAATATGTAACTTGGTTACAGCTTTGCTCCAATACTTACCTGGCGTAGAGGTTTAGAATGATTTTATTTTATTTGTAAAATATTAATAAATATAAACTCCACACGTGTTTCTTGTCCGTTGGCGTAGCAGATGTTTTTATTATCGTTATCAGCTAGAGATGACAAACACATACTGTGATTTTCAAGTCGCTCTACCACATGGAACAACTATGATGCATCTGAGAGTGCATACGTTGGGAACATGTTTCACCAAATTGAGTAAATTAAGTCATATATTAGGTATTCTTATTTATAAGTTGTTTATTCTACTTAAAGTGATAGTCGCTTTTATCGATACTGTCATCGATATCTAGTCACAGGTTTTATTTATTAATTCTATTTATTTTGCAATTTCAGTCCATATTCCCAAAAAAAAGCAAACTGTTAACAACATTTTATTCCAATGGCTGACTCGCAGGAGAACCTGGCGAGCACATCAACTACCAACGCCACCGATAAAGAAGCTGCAAAGAGTAAGAAAACAACGCCGGATCCACTTTAGTTTGTTTAATTGTTTCTATTAATTTTGGTCAGTATGTGTTTTGTTAAACGCTACTGGTAATGTGCCGATCATTAAGAAGCGCACCTGGACCGTGGACCCCAACAAGACAGTCAGCTGGATTCAAAAGTTTATACACAAATACCTCAAGCTGGACGCCACTGAGCAAATTGTATGTACAACCACCGGCGTAAACATTTATTTTCTTGATAAACACAACCATTGTCTATATTTTCCAGTTCCTTTATGTCAATCAGACGTTTGCACCTGCTCCGGATCAGATAATCAAGAACCTGTACGACTGCCACGGTACAAATGGCAAGCTGGTGCTCTACTACTGCAAGAATCAGGCGTGGGGCTAAATCGATACGCACTCGACTTTGCTCAGTCTTAAGTATTTATTAAACTATTATACTGTTTATAATAATTAGGGTGCGTAAAATGATGTTGCAAATTCAACACTTTATTTCCCCAACTTGAGGCCTATACATTTCATTTACTAGACGTCCGACCAAATGTCGATATAGCCAGCCAGAAACTGGCCTAATCGCCCCGCAGAGCTTCCAGCTCATCAGCAGCCTCCTTGGATATTCTGTGATACTTGGCTACCGTCGGACGATAGTAGTACGACTGGTAATCATTTCGCTCCGACATCTTGCGACGAACCTCTTCCTCAAGTTTTCTGAAAATGCAAGGTCCCAGTCACGATAGAACGACAAGAGCTAGTTGTCAAAAGCATATATTACCGGATTTGAGCCTTTTCGTTTTCCTCAAACAAGTTGTGCAAGGCTTTTTCGTATTCCTGCTGCTGCGAGCTGTAAATGTACCGGGAAATAAACCGGGAGATTGGGTGCTGTAGGAATGGAGAAAGTTTAGCGAGTTCTGTGGCAATGCTTCGACTGTTACGGTGTCCTACCTTCTCGTACTCCCAGTACTTGGGCACGTAACCCTCGGGTATCTCTGCCAACTGAGCGGGCCCGACGAAGATGTTCGAGCAGAGCACCAACGCTGTGATCGGCACGACGCCAAGCATTACGTAAAAGTGAATCAGATCCTTGAACTTGTCCCATTGGAAGCGCGATGGCTTTACTGTCATGTGGTGGTGTCCATGATCACCACCCATCCGGCGCAGCTGTTGCTGCAGCGCTACAAAGGTGGGAGAGATCTATAGTTCTTGTTGCGTAATGTGGAGTAATGTGTTTACGGCAGTAAGCCGACTGATCTAAGTAGTACACTCACCATTTCGGCAAGCCGGAGCTTGGAGAACGGCGCGGTAGTTGGCGAATTGCGCAGCTGGCGACAGCAATCGGCTCCAACCGACCATTTTAATGATTTTTTTGTAAATTTAATAAATTGGAGCTGGTTTCAGAGTGACCAAAATACCGTCTGACTCTAAAAGGTATACCCCAACATACCAACGATTTAAAAAAAAATACTATATTGAACACCGATATACCATATATTATGAGTGATGGTGCGATATGCGTTTTATGGAAGATATGTATTCTCCAATTTCATATGAATACTTGCAATTCTATACCATGATTTGCAAGGGCGTGTATATAGGAAATATCCTATATATCCTAATTTTCTGAGCCGATTGTATTTACAACGTCGAGACTCAAACCCGGATCGTTGCCATGGACTATGTATCGGTGATCAAGTTGTCCTTGTGAATGCGCCCATCGCGTTTTATAATTTTGTTATTGATCCTTTTAGCTTGCACATTATTTTGCAATCAATCCAATAAATAAAGTCTGAAATCCTTCCAAACTTGTGGACAATTGATTAATCAATAGGTTTAAATTATCTTTTGGGGGTGAGCGTCCTTCACTAACCAAATAGTATAATACCATTTGGTTAGTGGTCCTATCCTGCAAGCGAACATCGAAATTGAGGAATAAGATTTCAAACATGTACACATCAGTATATTTAAAATGAAAAGGTATATTTTGGTATATTTGCGAGGGTCATGCGGTATATTTTATCGATAGGTCCGCGGTCACACTGATGTATTCATCGACAAAAACAACTTTTTGCAATACAAAAATTAACGAAGTTTTTTTTTAATTGATAAAAGGTAAATTTGCAAGCGTTTCTGACTCACATATGCAGATCAGGGGAAAATTGCAGTTCTTTTAACTAAAGCAAATACGTTGTACGTTTTTGCATTGCCAAACAACCAGGCAGAATTGATAGTGTAGTCTACCGTCTAGCCGAGACCCGCCTGTCGTCACCGAGTTGCTGATAAAAAAAGTACATTTACAAAGAAGTAAATATTGTTAAAAGGTGACAAACACGAATGCGCAGTTCGTTGGAAAAAGTATTGCTTATATCAGTGCGGCGATTTCACGAGTGTGTGTTGAGGAACACGACATATTCCCTGTATGTATGTGCGGCAGTGCAGGAGCGGATCAAAAGCCCAAACCAGACGCTGGAAAAGTGCATTAAATACCAATGATTTCATTCGTTAAAATTAAAAAACCTATTTTGTGCAAAGCGATAAGCTTCGCCCCACTTCGCTCTCTGTGTTATCTTTCGTATAAGACCATCGCCCTGCCTTTAATTTCTACCAGCACTGTATGTATACTCTGCGGTGGGGCGTAGGCGGTTTGGCCCCATAGGCCCACACTGCCTGCAAATCCCCACCACCATTTCGCCATAAACTCTTGTCGTGTCCATATAAAAGAACAAGAAACAATACATTGCCGTTCGATGGCAATCCATCGCTCGTTTGAAATGAATGAATTAATGTGAATCAGCGCACGGCACTCTATCTCCACATCCCTCTACGGCTGTGCCGATAGCGACAGCGACGGCGCGCGACAGCCAAGAAACTACATGGCTTGATGTGACGTCACCGTTAGACTCCCTACTAATATGTACAGCACACAGCTTGCAGCGCTTGAAACGACAGTTGGCCCACGACCGATTATGGCTAATTTATTCTCACTATATTCCAGGTGTGCTGTATTTTCTACATGCCAATTCGATAGCGCGACTGAGACGTCCTGCGTCATTGCATCGCAACGAAAATCCACACTCTGTACACCTGTCCGTCTCACAATGGACAACCATTCGCGTTTCACATCTAGATTACCAGGTAAGAGCGCTTCCATTTCGATATGTGTAGAAGCGTATTTCAAATTTCGATCTTTCATTTCTGTTTCTGCTTAGCTTAGCCGCTTAGCCAATAAGTTCGCTGTGAAACAATAACCCCCAAAAGATCAAAAATATCTGTAATCTGTAATTTAATGCTTGGGAATTGTTTCGTGGTGAGGCGCCGCTTGTTTTGTGTGTTTTATTAATGTAACCGTAGCCAAGTGGGAGACCCGTCTAAGATCTAACTAACAACTAAACTAATTTAATGCCGCAAACCGCCCCGCCTGCCCTGCATTCTTTGTTTTTGGTATCAAGTTGAGCTACTAACCCAATTTAATGCTGTAAAACCTCACTCACTGTACCTATACATAACTACATACCACACTATACTCCATTATGAATCCTGAGTTTTGTACGTTATGTCGCTAGCTGTGTTTGTTGCCAATGTTTGTTTGAGGTTTGTCTGCGTGTATGTGTAGCCTTAGTTCTCTCTACGTACAATAATTCTTTTGACTGTCTCTGTTCCATAACATAAACAATAAGCAATACGTACAACAGGCAACTGTTGTACCGCAACCCTTACTAATCCCAAGATTCCCAAGTTATGTACGAAAGTAACTCATCAATTACAAATTTCTCTGATCTGATCCATGTCTATTCACTTACTCAAACTCAATCCGAACTAAACTTGTTGCCTCAGGCCGTCAAAATACTTAAGTGAAAAGTGAAAAGCATTACTACTTGTAAGACTACGTTTTGGAATATCTGTCCACTGCAACGGAAACCTACGAGATTAATAAACGACTTCTCTCGCACCCACAAGGTCCTGCCATTAATTCGATCGTTGAGAACTCGGACGAGCCGCAGCCTAGTCTCTCGGATCTGCACGACTTCGAGCCGAAGCTAGAGTTCGATGACACAGAGCTCCTGAGCCCGGCTACTCTAGAGAGTAAGCATTTCAGTGTCCTAAAGTTGTGTTAAAGTAACAGCTGCTAATTAAACAATTCATTTATCACCCCTCCCTAGAAGATGTTATGGTCGGAGATTTTGTCCTGGCCGATGGTAAGTGTGGGACTCAATGAATGGTTTCTTGAATGACTCTTTTGATTCTACCCTACAGATCCAGAACTTGAACACGAGGAGGATGTGAACCCTCTGGAGGACGATTTTGAAGATCAACTGAGGGAGCAGTCGGAGCAATTTCAAGCACCCAAAAACAAATGCGACTTTCTGGGCACCGACAAGCAGGGTCGGCACGTCTTTGGCATTTACGCATCGCGGTTTCCCGAGAAGTCGCAGCTGGAGGGATTCGTACGGTATGTGTGCAACATCAATGCCCTCTGAACATCTTATCTGACATTATCTGATCGTACCTTCTATTATGCCAGTCAAGTCATCAAGGAGATCGAACCATTTGTGGAGAACGACTACATACTCGTTTATTTCCACCAAGGGCTTAAGGAGGACAACAAACCGTCGGCGCAGTTCCTGT